CGGCGGCGCACGCCGGCGGCGGCGGGAAGAAGGAGATGCGAGGAGAGAGCCTGGAGGGGAGCAGCGGAAGGGCCCCCGGCCGCCTCACCCGGGGAGGCGACGCGGGGGGTACGGGGAAGGGGGGAGGGGCGGGGGAGGGGTGGGGGAGAGGGAGAGGTGCGCGGCGACGGCGGGCTCCGACCACGGCAGCGGCTCCGCGCGGGGGAGCTGCCGGCGGCGGTGCAGGAACCCTAGGCGGAGGAGGAGGGAGGCGCTATCTCCAGGGCAGATTCTGTTTTTGGTGTGTTGTTTGCTTATTTTCATCAAGATTTTAACCCTGGTGGGCTAGGGATACCACTGTCTCTCTAACCATCCAACCACAGGTTGGTCCCCCTCTTCTCTCTCCTCTCATCCACACATGCATGGTCCCCCTCTCCTCTCTCTCCTCCCAACCGGACACTAAATCACAAATATCCAACCACATGCATGATCTCCATCAGTTGTTTCTCCTCCCAACCGGATACTTTCTGATTTAGCATTGGATTGCTCCCTCCCGCATAAAAACGGTCATATAATGGAGAAATTTGCGGGTCAGCGCTGGAGCTGTCCTTACATACATTCATTTTTTTCAAGGGAATCTGACTCTGTTGTACACGCACCGAAGCCAAAGGAGTACAAAATGTGTCGAAATTCAAATCTCCAATGCATGTTCTTGTACAGGATATTTCGCGTCGGCGACTGCTATTGACTCTTGTTCTAGAGAAATCTTGGCAAAATTGCTTTCGCCCAGTACTAAGAAGCCGGCCTTCACCTTCATCTCTAGCTGGTGGCTACGTGTCTTGCACGGTGGTGGTTTTCTTTCTGTGGAAAGGGGATAACCCCGGTACGGTGGTGGTTGTCAACGGCTAAGCTACATGGTGGAGAGGCGTTCGTCGATGCCTTCCGACATCCTTCGACGTGTGGCCTCTTACGTGCCATATCCCTGCGTGACCAAGTGCCATGTGTGATATGTGGCTTTGTTCTAATTTGCCCTCTTTGGGGAATGTAACCACCTACTAATATAATGACATGCCTTTTTATTTCGCCAAAAACAGAGTACCAAGATCTATTACCTAAAATGCCATTGAATTCATTTTTTCAATAAAGACCCAATGAATTAAAGTTTGACTGATGGAGAGGGCGGGTAATAATATTTTAACATTTTCTCTCACGTTTAGGTCCTTAGATGGCAGGCTGCTGCACTCAATACCTCTTGTATCTGACATCATATTAATTCCTGCACTAATTAATTTATCAAAAAGTACAAGCTGATGGAGAGAAGCAGATATTATTCAACAGTACCAAAACCTTCAAACATCATGCAAAATGAAGAATGTGCAATGATGTACGTACGGTTACTTGATCGTCAAATGTCTCCCTCAACGAAGTCTTGCTACTTCATCCGACTTGCTGCACTGTACTGTATTAGCAATAGTATGTGTGCATCCTTGAAATAGGTAGATATTCGACTCGCTTTATAAATAAAGCCAACAACACATCCATGCAACGAGTTCAAGTGCAACGAAATATAATAGTCTGCTGAGGCATCAACACAAACACAATCAAAGAAAGCATAAGAGAAATAAAGAAAAAAGACTACCAAATGGCCACATAGTCAGGAGCCTGCTGCGAGGAGAGGCGTCGAGCAGTAGCATGTAGCGCATCCAACATAAGCCTCAGACGCTCATAGTTGCGCTACCTAGATAGCGGGTGCCAGTGCTGCAGAAACAGAAGGAATTTGAAGAAAAAAAAATAGTCACCAAGGAGTTATCGCCACATTTGGTCCCTGGTCTATGCTTGTTCGTAAATACTATATATACAGCTGACAACGTTAGCTGGGCTGCTGGAATCTAGACTTATATTTCTAATCGTCAAGAGAACAATCGCACCATGTGAATGGTTCATGCCAGCGGATTAGCACAAGTAAAATTATATCTTCTTCCCGAGTTCTAAATAAGCTAGGCTAGCTTTGCGTGTCTTGTTATGTGAGTCGTTGTCATTTCTAGCTAACTAGTGATAGGGGGTGGCGGAGATGATGCAGTCTAGCTGATTTAAGTAAGTTCTTTTTGAGACAGTAAAACGACAATCATGATAAGCCTGGTTTTTAAATTGTGGATTGGTTGTTGGCATAACGTATTGCCGGTTGCGTGCATCTTTTCGTAGTAGATTCTTCCAGATAACGACTTAACCTATATACTTTACCCACACTCACAGCTAGGGCCCTTCTTTTTTGACAAAACTCACAGTTAGGGCCCTCTTTGATTCACACATTCTCGGAACACGTAATAGTAAGCATTCAAGTACTTGAAAGACAGGTTGTGAAGAAAGATGAAGGGATAGATTGAGAAAACTTTATCGCCGGCGTGTAAGGAGGAACTGGTGAAATCTGTTGTACAAGTGGTGCCGGTTTATTCTATGTCTTGCTTTAAACTGCCAAGGGGCCTTTGTGAGCATCTAAACAAACTTATTAGGCAATTTTGGTGGGGGAGTTCTTGATTTGGCAGAACCGGAGGCAAATGGCACAAAGCCACGAACCTATCACCCCTCTTCTAGATACTACAAGCTGGCGGTACCTGCTAGCCAGATGGACCACTACTTGACGAACCTAGATCCCACGACCTACATAAGGATGCATACTTGTTGAAATTCAGGTAGTATGTTACACATGGAGTAGTAGAGAAATGGCAAAGCCTAGATGAATACAGCTTCATCTTTAGCAACCTCATTATTTTGTCGAATCTTAGAACACTCTCCCTAATATTTGGAGATTTCAGGGAGTGGCCACATTCTGTTTCGCAAGTGGAGCGATCTCCTCGCCCTCGATGCCCGGCTGACTTCCCTCGACTCCTAGGCCAAGAAGAGCCTCCTCCCACTTCTTTGCCGGTCCCTGGATCACACAAAGAGAGGATCAATTTACCCTTGTCTCGACAGACAAGAAACTCATTCATGTTAAGGGTAAATAGGAACTTGATTGACAGTTCTGCCCACCTTCCAAGATAGGTCCTGCGCCATGCAATTCTGAACCATTGCGTGGAACGACGGTGTTTTGTACTGTTTCAGAGCTCGTGTGACATTCGAAGCAACTGCCGCGACATCTGCTGGATCGACGGTTTCAAACTACAAGAGGACAGATCAAGGCTATCAATCATCAATGCATCGCTATTTGCGAGCAAATACTTAGACCAAGCCTATATTGTTCTTTACCTCGACATTGAACGAACCCATGTGGAATCCGGTGACACCCTCGCTCACCGTGTCAACGAGTCCTCCGGTGGATGAACAGATGGGAATCTGTAAAATGTAATATCAAGGACTGTGTCAACAGGGGCGAACAATACTTGTGCGGTCAAATTTAACGTCCAACTGATCGAGTCGGAATGCTTACCACTCCATATCTCATCCCTTGCAATTGGATGAGGCCACATGGCTCGAACCTACTTGGAACAATTATGAAATTAGCCCCGGCAAACATCATGTGCGCCAATGGGACATTGAATTTTGCTATGCCTCTGGCATTCTGTGGGTACTTCGCTTCTAGCAGCATCAGTTCCTCCTCCATTTTCTTCTTCCCTGTGCCCTGAAAAACACAACACAGTTTACCTAAGCAACAATCATCTTCTATCTCCTGCCATGCCGTATGAGTGAATTAGAATTCTCTTTCAAAATAAACATACGAGAACAATTATCTGAACATTCTCCTCGAGAAACTCCGGTATGGCTGCAATTAGTATGTCTGACCCTTTCTGTTCTTCAAGACGTCCAATGAAAACTATAACAGGTATGCTAGAGTCCACAGGCAATCCAACTTCAGCCTGCAGTATTTCTTTATTGAGAGCTCTTGCTTCCGCCACCTGAAAAATGCTCTCTGTAAGTACTGAACTATCCATATGTTGCAATAACTGGCAAAAGAGGAGAATCCTCCCACTGAAGCCTTACCGTTGTTGCATTGTATTTGACACTGATGTACTTATCTGTTGCTGGATTCCAATCAACAACATCCATTCCATTTACAATTCCAGTTTCAAGAGGCTTTGCACGAAGGACGCCATCCAACTCAACACCTTTCTCTGGGCCAGAAGTAAGTTCTTTGACATAATGTGGACTAACTGTAAGGACCACATCACACTCAGTGATCCCTGCCTTCATCCAGTTAATCTTTCTCCCTACTACTGGCTTAACATGCCTGCACACAATTATGGTATATGTTAATTTCAAATAAACAAGTACAACATAATAAAACAATAAAACATGGAGGTTCATACCCATCAACAAAATCAAATGACGGCATGAAACTTTCAGGTAAATTAAGAAGTTCGAAGTCCACTCTGGGAAATCTGCCCTGATAGGCGATATTGTGAATGCAGAAAGCAACCTACAGGACAACTATTCACTGATCAAAACAAGTATAGAAAAATCTGTGGAGCATAAAACCTATGGTGCATATTCCCTACTTGTCAACAAAAGGAAGGAAGTGGTGTACCTTGGCATTCACATAAATTCCATTTTGCTTATACATGCTCTTCAAATAGCATGGCAAAACTGCAGTGTGCCAGTCATTTGCAACGAAGACAACATTTTCTCCTGGTGAAAGAGTGTGAATGTTTGTTATTTATTTAGTTAGAGAGAAAACATTTAACCATAATGGTTGATCTAATACATAAATCTACCATATGGTCCAGAGAAGTATTCAGAATTGTTGAGATTAAGAACCCTCGGAGCCTCCAATGCAGCCTAAAAGCGATATCAGATTAGAAGAAGTTCCACAAACATATCAAGTAGAAAAAACTCAATTGATGTGAATGTACTACCCTCGGTAACCGTTAAGACTCATTTAGGCACTTCAATGCTACCAACACACACCATTAATTCAGCTAAAACAAGGGTTGGTAGTTACATAAGTGAGGTGCTAGTCACATGAAATTCGAACTAAACAGGATACTTACAAGGCACAAAAGGCAGAACCGTAATTGGTTATCTCGGAAGTCTGTTCCAGTGGTAGGCCCATACAATTTTGATCCAGTTTTGCCCCATACCTGAAGTATTATTATGGTTCAAGTGGAACATTGCAAGGTTAAGATAAATGTATATATTGTTCAGTGGGCATGAAGAAAGTGGTTAAAACTTATAACATACCTTCTCAAGAAACATAGGATGATCAACAAAAACACGATCAACCCCCCTTTTGTAGCAGTGAAAAAAGCGCACTGTTTCTGTTCTGTCACCAACAATTACCTAAAGAAGCAAAACTGTTTTTAGCATATATAACACCAGCGACTGGTACAAGTTAAATGCGAGCTAAATAACAACACCCAACAAATCAACTAAAAATATATACCTCAACAAGAACATTTGTATCCCATGTATCCTTGTACTGATCATAGCGAGGAGCTATCGTCATAACCCGGTGCCCCATTGCCTGTGAAGAAATGAGTTGTGCATCACGCCAAAGATAGTACAACAGACAGAGGGCGATAAAAGTGCAGTCTCAGTAAAAAATAATGTGATTCAGAATTAACAGTACGTGACAAGGCATACTTACAGCCAGAGCTGGGGGCAATCCTCCTACGACATCACCAAGGCCTCCAGTTTTGCACCATGGGTGCACTTCAGTGGCAACGAAAATTATGGGCATTCCAGTTGAACATACGATAGGTGCAGGAGTCCTACTAGAATTACGATGAGTTCCATAATTTGTGGCTCTTCTTTTGGCCAGCTGTGTCTTATTTCGCATGGATAGGAACATAACTTCATTGTTACAAGATTGCTGGAATTGGATGTGAGGCGACAGTTTCAGTGAACCAACACTGTTTGTTTGATAAGAACAATAATTAGGAATGGAACCCATTGGTGCAGCCTCTCAATGACGACCTATCAGAATGGCATATGATAGAGATGGGGTCATGATGAACTTCTTCTTCAGAGAAAGATGGAAATTCTACCTTATATTCTCAATGTAAAGCAGCACTACTATGCTGGTAACCAGTATTTACAATGCCACAAATATATATGTCATTTTCTCAAATAAAACAGTACTACGAGGTGGCACATGAAAGTGCTAACTGCTTGCATACCCTGCCTTGACAGTTGATGAATAGATTGGAAGTTTTCTCGCAAAAAAGAAAAGGAACAGACCAATTATCATACAAGCGTGTGTAGGATATTATTGTTAGTGCTACAACTGCAAGGTTAAAAGGCAAAAAGGAAGTTCCATTACGGATATGTTCTAATCGATAATTGTACATGCTGTTTCGAAAGAAACCAATGCCTTGCGGATGAGTTCTTCAAGACAATGTGTGGGCTTTTATTTTTCTTATCAACTGTCCAGGAACCCTAGCATTCAAGGAACGAAAGGGCACCGAAACCAGCCGTTGGTATAGAACAATAGGGAGGCTAAACAGCCTCCCGATAACCAGAACACTAGTCTGTTCCCAATGTGCACATCAAGTGTTTAACAATGTGATACATCAAATATACAATACAAATAGGGACTAACCATATTACAGATATAGATATATAAATGAATTTTACTTGAGTAATTTGGTGCACGACCCATGCAATGTAAGTAATAAATGTCAGTATCCTAGCAACACACTTTCATGTTCAAGCCTGAGGTACAATGTTCCATGGACCCAGTAACACCAACACCCCGGATTTTTTATTCCTTTCAAAACCATAAATAAAACATAAATCTGCCTGGTGAAGAGCAGTACATCACAACACATCCTGACATGTAAAAATAACGAAATCACAAGGCGAGATTAAGGAAAGCGTGTACTACAAAAGCATAAATAAAACATAAATACTGGTCACCGGTGGCTTCCACAACACCCTCAATGGTACAACAAACTCGTGCAGAATAAACTACCTCTGAATATCAGAGGGTACAACTATCAGAAACTAAGGTGGTAAGTCCTGGGGCATGTGAGATGCAAAGATTGGTGAAAATGAACTACACATGCCAAGGGTTTCAAACATCGAAGGGAAATGCAGAAGGAAACAACTAGCGAGTCCCTCCCTACTGGCTACTGCACAGATTGACAGGAGAACTCCGTGGTGGTCACTGGTCAGAACTCAGAACATTGAATACTTGGACACCCCCGTGCCATTCATATACTACTACCTTAACACCAATGGCAGAAGCAAAATCAAACAGCCCAGAGAGCTACGTTCTGCTTGTGAACACAGAAGACCGCGGGGGAAAATAGAGGGCAGTGCGTACCTTTTCGAGCTAGGCGCTGTGGAACCGCGGAGCAGGCGGAGTGGCTGGTGGCCGTGGGAACGCAGCAGGCTCCGCTCAAGTAGAAGTAGAAGCAGAAGTGTTCGGCTGGCGGTGAGCGGCAGGAATTATCCTGCGGATGGGAAGAGGAGGGGGAGGTGTCGCACGGGTAGCGGCTGGCTCCCGTGCGCCAGTGCCACATGGCCCACGCCACGCGCGGCGACAAACCGGGGCGGGGCACCGCCACCGTACCGGCACCGGCGCGTTGCGTCGGGCTCGGTTCGGGAGGAGGCGGATGTGCCGAGACGGGAGCGTGAATCGCGATGATGAAGCGCCCGGCCCTCGCGTGGGGATTGGGAGGCGGCACGGGAGCCGTCAGTTTCTCGATGGTGGGGCAGGGGCGAGAGGGCGCAGGGCTCGTGGTTTTCCTCGTGCCGGGAGTGCGAGCCGTCCGTTCGTTGGGGCCGGGGAAAGGGAAGGACTAGAGGAAACGACAGCGGACATGTTTCCGGTTGGGGCCCTTCGGTCAGGTTGTGGCATCTGACATGTGTCCTCTTCCACGTTATTGCCACAAGTCTCAACAGATGATGTTTTTTTGCGGTAATGATGTTTATGTGATATAGAATTTTGAATTTAATATTCTGTGAAAAAAATTGAAAACAAAAGACAGTAGATACTTGGTGATCCAACCTCTAAAGAAAAGAAGGGGAAATCCCACTACATTATATTTTATAGCACAAAATACACAAAGCAGTTCCCAAAAAACCCTAAAAAGTATCAATCCGTAATCCCTTTTTTTCTTGAGGGGTATCGATCCGTAATCCCTGATGCTAAGATTCAAATTATCAGCGTATTTATGGCAAGATTAATTTATACATCAATATTTACATGTTGCAGATACTTGGACATTTTCCAGCGGTCATTAAGCGGTACCAAGATTTACCTATTTTGAGGATGTCATGTGAAGTTCGACCATATCAAGAAGAAATCACAATCGTATGACACATTTTAGGGACAATCAACTGGATGAACAACTAACACAGCGGCACACCCTATATAGCCTAGAATAGTAAAGAACAAATCAAAAATCTCATGAAGATTTCATAGTGTCTCTATTTTCTTGTGGAACATGGCATGGCTTATGAAACATATATACATTGTCTAAGTGAGCACGACAAAGATGCAATCTTCGAACAAAAACAAAAAAAAGTAGCAGCATGGAAGATCTGAATCCGCTCCCTCTTAGTTTGAGCTAATTGTTATCTTCAAAAGCTCAATTGTTGGGCTTAGCGGTGCCACCAGTGATAGTCGGCGGGGAAACCACTCGCCAGCTGGAAAATTTTGCCCTCATTATCTGTTTCTCTCGGCTTCTCCTAAACTACAATAACGGTCAGACAAACACTATATGTTGCATATATAGTTGCAGAACATTTAGAAGGCAAAAAAAATCAGTAAAGCATGTCATTCGTTAAAGAAATTAAGAGAGGTAAGTTAACACTGTCAATGGATAACATGCATGCCGTACTTTCTCTGATCTAAGTTTAGTTATGGCAAGATTATACATGAACTAAAAATGTTCTGAAGACATCATGCTATCAGCATCTTAGCAGTGGAGAAAGGCTACTATTCCAGGGTGGCAATATGTACAATAACAAGCTATAATAACTATTGCTTCCCAAAGCTAACCAAGAAAGAAAAACTAATCCACACAAAGTTTAGCATGACAAAAGCCGTACAAAGACCTGCCTACTTGAGATGGTTATTCCCTCAGGAAAATAAATCATACTAAATTCTTAATGGATACATAAGTAAATTTAAAGGCTAAAAATGAAGGAAATGCCTAATGGCATGTGCCTTTTAGTTATTCATATGCATGTACATTTCAAGCTACGATTTACTTCGCAAAAAGGAAAATCTTACGACAAGTAATACATCATAACTATCTTCCAACGGAAATCACGGCAAGTGATGAAGACAACAATAAAGCATCAAGGACCTGTAGGAAGAAAAGTAGTGGTCATATATCTTGCGAACATGCAGATTCCATGCCCAAGTACAACATTGGTACAAACTTTCTCTATACCCAAACAATATGCAATCCACCCTAAGCATAAACAACTTGGCCTGGTATAAGGTTTGAATACGAAGCACTACAATATCACAAAATAGCCATGTTTTAGCATTACTTGGAAGACAACCTATAAAACAACCATCGAGAACCCTAAAAAACATCAAGTCTTTTAGCAAAAATCTACATACCTTCATGCTAAGATCTACAATATTGTTGCAATTCAGCAATCCACCATTAAACCTGATATCTAGCATGGCCTCTCATGATTTGTGATTTATGACATGTAATAGAACATGGATAATCTTCTCATCTGCAAGTGCATATGGCCATCGAAACATGTGGGACTAATCTTTGGCGTTTATATTAATAATTAGGAACACTCACATTAGAGAGAAAAACGGCAAACCAGATCCTAGCATATTACATTGACTGAATTTTTCTTATTACCATGACTATATAGGTCTAGAGCAAGTATATTAGAAAATAGCAGCATGAACACTAAATGCTTTGTCCCTCAATAAAAATTTGACACTTACCCATGAAAATTGTCCACCATGGAATTTGTTGCCAGTCCCAGACACCTTGAATTAAGTGGAATGAGTTTCAACAAGCTTGGAGCTGCATTGCCATTTCCCATACACCTTCTGAAGCCACTCTTCTTTTCCATTATTGTCATGAAACAAGGAACACAAGGAGCTGCATGTCATTTGTAAAGTAAAAGTAGTGGACAATGAAACAAGGAACACAAGGAAGATGCCGAATATTGAAAGAGATCGATACTCACAAACACATGACGTTGGATATTACAAGAAGGATAGTTTGGCAGAACCATGGAAGAATTATGGCTCCATTATTCTTTGTTTGTGGCTCCATTATTCTTTGTCGTTAGACTTAACCCTGGCGCATCCTATTCCATTAAAACAAGTCAAGATTTAGCATATAGAAATTTTTCTGCCCGTCATAGACCTACAATCATCCAGGAACATGATTCCCTGTAATATCAAGATACTGCTGAACTACATAACCAAATATTAAAATATAAGAACAATGAAACCATATTGGAATGGGACCACACAGTCAAAGCAAACTATTTTGCGATTCACTTAAATACCCTAGAAAAATGTTA